CATCATCATTAGCTATACGGTCCCACCAAAAGGCTCGGAGCCTACCCTAAGTTAAGGGTGATTAGGCCCTAGTCAACCACGCTGGCCAAGTGCGGGTTGGTTAACTTCACACATATCTTTTGAATTTATTCTCAGATATGTGCAGGTTGCATCACGATGGTTTTCCTTCACCGTAAGAACGTCGGATAAATGTACATATTTAAATCGGAAATCACATTAATTCAAGGCGGGATTCGAACCCAGGACCCGCAGATTGCTAGTCAAGTGCTTCACCCCTGAGCCACCGACGCTCTCTATCTCTATTATACTGTACTCTGATAACGAAAAATAACCATCTGGAAGAGAGATATAGTCACTATACTAGTTAGGAATCCAAGTGGCATCCATTCTAACATCTGTTATAAACAAAATCAATAGAGCAACCGTATCCATTAATTTTTCTACAATACCCAAGCTTTTTGATATCGGAAATGAGCATGACAACAGAAATATCTTATATTCTATGAGATACAGGGCTACCTAGAATAAACTATAATTCCTATTTGGGGGCGCGGCAGTGCCCTTACACGAGGGAAAATATGAATGGATAGATAAGTGTTTATTTCTCTATACATTACGTTTTATATTGGGAAGAACATTTAACATTGCGTTACTAAGGAGGCAATGTATGCCGCGAGACGAAGTTGATTAGTATTCAAGCATCGTAACATTTGTAAGTGGTTTGAAAGGGAAAGTCTTGGCTCGGGAATTGAACGTCTAGTCCCCTTACATAAGATGCTTCATTCATAAATCACGATGAATAAGAAAATGAGATAAGGATATTTTAACGAAAAAAGTCGTAAAAGAGCGTTGGTGAAAGATGTGGATGAAAAAGGGAACTTATAAAGATAATAATAGTAATTTCAATAACGATTGTTAAGTCATTTGAGTTTGAAGAAATTTAATTGTTTTCATCGAGCATTTAGAATGTGATTGGTTATTGATAAATTTTATATTAGTATTTGTGGAAAAAAGATACGATTTTTAAAAATGACTAAAAAAATATTTTGAAAAATTCAGCGAGATTTTTTTTTCGTTTTTACTATACTTTATTTTGGTTCGTGCGATGACATCGTATAGATTATTTTATTTGTATCGTCTGAGCGTACATTTGAATGTAGGATTGTCATTAAGGGAACGTCGGTCGTTAAAACTAAAAGCTGTGGTGTTCTCTCTATTACGTGATAACATTTGACGCACTTACAACGCTCAAGTTTTATAAATACACCATCTTTTTCTCTCAGTTCTAATTTCCATTATTTTAATTGCAATTTTTAATGAGATTGTCTTTTGTTTTTAAATTTTATTTGTTTGAAATTTTAGAGCTTTTAAATGTCTTTTGTCATAATATTTTTATAATTGTGTAGTTTTTATTATTTCTAAACTATGATGTTAAACACAACCTTCTATTTAATATCATAGTTGGTGGAAAAGCTAACAAATACTTATGTGTACTAGCTGTCGCCCGCGACTCCATCCGCGCGGAATGAAATAAACCTGTGTTCCAGACTATGTTCTATATGTGAGCAAAATTTCATCGAGATCCATTCAGCCGTTCTGGAGATACCTTCAAACAAACATCCATCCATCCAACCAAACATTTACATTTATAGTAAGATAAGAAGTAAGATTTAAACATAAATAAAAAAGGTTTTATATAAAATTGAACTGTACTATAATTCTTTTACAATATTAACTGATAAAATGTTTCTCACGAAACATTTCTATTTTCCGATTGACACTATTCGATGTGTTTCCTTGTTATCGCCTTTTCAACAATAACGTTGGTTCGAAAGCTTCTATTTCCCGTTCGGAAGAACGTGCGAGTACCTTGAAAGCCTTCGCGACGGATGCGAATTTAATTATTCAGGAGATTGTAGTCCCGTTGCCCGGTTTCTTACTGAAAATAGTTTGATACACCCAAAAGGTAACTTCTTCAATATATCGTAATACATAGACGCATACATAATACATATATAATGTATATAACAAGTAAAACATAAAAAAAACCAATAATTAAAAAGGTAATACACGCGTTACCTTTAAACGGATAGAAGAGAGGGAACGTGTAGAAAAGTGATAATTCCTTCTTCCAGAAAGAAAGGTTATGCCTCCTGCCAATCCTTTTTTCAGTACTACTTTAAACGTAGGTCTAAGACATCAGGCCTACTCCGGAATAACATTAATAGTAAGGTATAGACATATTTGAAGAAAGAAGAGAAATTTATAACTTTCGAGGGGGTTTGTTTAATTTTTTTTGTTTTAATTTTTTTTATATCATAAGGTGGCAAACGAGCGAGTGGTCACCTGAAATCGCTGAAATAGCGAAGTGTCCGTTGCCCATAGACATACGCAATTGCATATGCGTTGCCTACCTATAATCGAAGGAGGAGAGGATGCACAGAAAGAAAATATTTTTCCTTTCCATGCATCCTCTCATCCGCAAAGTCCACTTCCACTTCCCATCCTTTCCTTATAAGAAAAAGGGCGGGAAGGGAAAGAGGACTAATTTTGGCCTCCGGGACGCACACTCATCAGACGAAACGCGGAATAGCTTCAAATTCACGCCTGTCTTCTGTGTGGTCGAGTTTTTTATGTATTCGACTTTCTTTTATCTGAATATATTCTTCGTGTCAAGATGATTTCAAAGTGTTAAATTATCTCATTTCGTATTAATTTTGTAACATATAAGAGCCCATTTCTGTAAATAAATGCTTGAGGTGTACATTTATATCCCTAGAGTATTGAGGAGAAATTTCATCGAGAAATAATATCCAATAACGATAAATCGTTTGAAATACGATCGTCGTATCGAGCTACTAGTTTATAGAAAGCCTACTTCAATTTGCTACACCAACTACGCATAAGATCTAATAGGTGTTTCGTTTGCATTAATTATTTTTATTTATCTATCTATAAATATATTCAAAACAATATTTTTTTTAATTCCCTAAGGACTTATAAACCAGAATATAAGTAAACTTTGGTAGGATGTTTTTTTGGTTGTTTGGTGGTCCGAAGGTTATGCGCTCTAAAAATTAAAAAAAAAAGTTTTTTTTTCTTATAAAACTTGGTTGTACTCTGAGCATACAGGAGATAAATAAATACTTTGTAATTACATTAACTTTTGTAATTTTTCAACAAAAAGAGTTAGATTTTTTTAGTATTTTCTCCGTGGAGTTATCCATGTGGCTATACGCAATTGGCGTTTTATCGTAGAATTTCGGGACACCCTGTATACAATTAATAAAATTGGAGTGTCTGTATGTAATATGGAAAAAATCAATGTTTCTCGAATGAAAAATCAAATCCAAATTTTGTATGTATGTCAGAAAGGCATGGTTTGTTCTGGGACAGCTGGAACGATTTTGACGGGCCTTGCGCTGGAAGTAAGCTGATGTACGCAGGAATGTTATGGACTAATTTTGTTATGTTTGCCGTCGACGTCGCGGTCTACCACTAGTAAATCAAAAATTCTTATGCTTATTTTGAGAAGGAAACTGTAGGATATTTATCATATGCAATTAAAACACTTCAAAGTAATTTTGAGTACTTTGGTACAAGTGTATGAAAACACAAAAACCCTTCAAACACTTTAAAGTATTTAAGCCCGTTTTAATTGGCACAAACTTCTCTCATTAGTAGGAAATTCTAAGTGAAGTAGGTTAAGCCATTTTTAACGAGATTGTTAAGTCCAGAACCTCAAAGTTTCCTTGTTCCCTGGTCCCTTTTTAAAACAATCTTTTTTTAAAAAAATTGTGACCAAACCTTTTCGATCTGTAATTCTATATATTTGTTTTTCCTGATTGTTTTTATGGTTTGTGATATTTGTATGTATATATAAGGTTGAATTCATAATCTTTTTTACGCTGAATATTGTTTTCTGTTAAGAAGGAGAACGAAAATGTGGCTGTGTGACGCAACACTAGCCTTACTAAAATGTCGATGTTTATGTCCCCTCATTATTCATTCTGACACTGGACTTTGTTATGAAAACACGTCACTCGCGTCAAATGATAATAATAATGTCTAAAAATACATATATTATAATAAGAGTATCATTTACTTTAAATAAGACATGCATTGTCATGTTTGCTCGAGTAATATATGCAAATTACATATCTAAAAATTAGAAATGCTATCCATAAGATAAAATAACATTTAACTATTTTACCCCTAAAAAATGAAACGTTAGAAAAATCAATCAATCAATACTTAATAGTCGAATGTCTGGTTGTAATGTTATGAACTAGAAAAATAAATGTGCGCTAAATGTTAAGTAACCCAAAAGCAATGCGAAATGTGAATGTTGCGTGTCGCTGCGGACCACAATGAACATTTTTCATCTATCTAATGGTTTACAAATATCAAATACAAAAAGTCATAAGTACAAAGATTTGTCATCCGAAATGCAACTGTTTGTCATAGTGGTATGATTCATATTAGCTCGTCCTGTGTTATGAGATGTGGTTTTATTGAATTCAATGCGCGTAGTCCGCAAGGAATTTGGCAATAGATTGGGATATATTGAGGGATTCCCTGACCTCAGTTTATTAGGTGAGAAATACTACGTGCTTTTATATAAGAATGTATTTAATGTTCACGTCTCACATATTTAATTCAGAACACACAATAATATCAAGTTATGTACTGAATTTAATACAAATTATCTGAAATTAAAATTATCCGATGTCCCATAAGTCCGAAAATAGTGTTTTTTTACTAGTGTGTTGTATTTTGGTTTGTATAATTGTTTTTTTTATTTAGTAATTTTAGCCAACCAGTGCCTTTCATATCTTATTGATACCACTAACGCAATCTGTAATTTTTTATTATATAAACTAGTATTCATTTTCTAATTAGCAAAAATAGATGGCACTGTTATAATATAACGCGCAATGTTTAATTTAACGCCATCTATTTAAAAGACTTAGACATTAATTTTTTTGTTTTGTTTACAGGTTACCAGATGTCGCGCAAGTCGTGTGCGGTAGGCGGGGCGCGGGGCGCATGCATGTGGGTGCAGGAGTGCAATCGAGTCGGTGGAATACACGCCGGAGTTTGTGTCGATGGCTTCATGTTCGGTTCCTGCTGTCGATTGCCGGACAAACCTATTCTCATCGAAGGTATCACGTTAAAATAACTTATATTGATTTGAATATTACGCCATCTATTGCTGCTAATATCAAAATATTTATTTTCAGAACCACAAAATCCTACAACTATAACCGACCGACCGTACGCAGCGCCATCAAGCGCCGCTACCACGCAACCGCCCGAGACAACACAAGCATCACCGCGGCCAACATCGCAAACACAGCGGCCGTCGTTTATGACGAAGCCGATAGATGGCGCACCTTCATATAACTATAGACCGCCAGAAATTAATTTACCCTCATTAAGCCTAGAATCAAGTAGCGAACAAAATAGTGATATAGTTAATAAAATACCATATAACAATGTAAATAAGTATCAAAATGTAAATAGGCCAAGCGGCGAAATGGAAACTAGTCCCCATAACAAAATTTCGTCTAGTCTTAGCATATTGGCCGGCGCGCGGCCCATGGCGGTGTCGGAGCAACATCCAGACAACAGTATTAGTGGAGGTAAGACAGTTATTTATAATATCATTCTAATATTAGAGATGGATGGATGGATGTTTGTTTGATCTCCGGAACGACTCTACGGATCTTTATGAAATTTAGCAAAGATGTAGAACGTTGTTTGAAAGAACACATAGGCTACCCAGTATTTTTTTAATTCCACGCGGAAGGAGTTGCGGGCGACAGCTGGTAAATTGTAAACAATATCTATTTCAAAGGTCATTGCGGTAGGTTACCCATCGGTACAAAAATCTTAGTTATGTAAAAGCTTGAATAATCTTTTTTAACCATTCCAGCGCACATGATGTCTCGACCTAACAATGCGAACACCCACTGGCAGGCAACAACGGAGCCGACCTTCGTGACCAAAACGCGACCTGGCAGCTGGGAGAAACCTGGCAAGCCAAAGCCGACCAAGAAGTTTACTACGACTACGGCTAAACCACATAAAAGTCATAAGCCTAAAGACCCCACGCTTAATATCATTAAAATGGATGAACCAACACCTCCTCCTATCCAAACTACAGCTGCTACTGATAGCGTAGGTCAGTAAATTTTACCAATCGATTTATTCCTACGGGACCGTAAAAAACTACTAAAATCGGAATATGTGAATTATACAACGTTACCCAGTTAATTTAAAACGTAATGTTACTAATCTTACTTCTTATTATCTTCCTTACTAATGTAAGAAATGCGAATGTTTAGATGGATGGAGGTTTGTTTGAAGGTATATCCGGAACAGCTGAACGGATCTTGATGAAATTTGGCACAGACGTAGATCATATTCTGAAAGAATACATAGACTCACTCACATAGATTCAATGTGTTTTTTTTTATTTCGTGCAGGCGACAGCTAGTATAATATAAATTACTGAATGCTATTACGTTTGTATTTCAACGATAAATAAAGATTCCCATTTTCCATATAACATTTTATTTTGTTTATCAATGTCGAAAAATCTTCGTCATTTTGATATTTCTATAACAAAAGGTCATATTACTAAAAGTTTTCCCCAAATCATTTCTTATTACGTTTATTTCGGGCACGAAATTGACGGTTTGTCAAATCCCTTCTGATTCGTACCATTTCCCCGCTGATGCTTTAGTGGCCTTTCAATGGCTTCGCAAAAAATACTTTTAAGAGAGATAAGAAAAAATATTTATTTTATTAAGAGGCAGCTTGATCAAATATTTCTATCTTTTCCAATGAATTCGATTTTAGTCATAAGTTATTTAAGTTCAAACTAGTACCAACTTCAAAATAGGTTTTTCTGACCGTATTTTCAACTTTAACGATTTGGAAAGAACATTTTCTCAATCGAGTCCCAGTAGTGGGAGTAACTTGCACGTTGATTGTAAAGATTTACGCGATGAAGGAGGAAAGAGAGAAGTGTCATCCGAATCCGTGTTCTTCCCCAGAATGTCTACTAGTTCACTATTTCTTTATTCCAGAGTGTGGTGTGACGGCCATGTGGCCGCGTCCCGAGACGCGCATCATGGGTGGCCAGGATTCCAGCTTCGGGCGGTGGCCGTGGCAAGTCTCTGTCAGAAGGAATTCCTTCTTCGGATTCTCGTCTACCCACCGTTGCGGTGGGGCCATCATCAATGAAGGATGGATTGCCACAGCAGGGCACTGCGTTGATGAGTAAGTTAAATATTCTCGGTTAACTTTAAATGTGTTTCTGTTTTTTCTATCAAGTTAAATTAAGAAACTTTGAAAGTTTAGTAAAAGTGGAAAAGTTTCAAAAGCGTATAGTCATTGGTAAACAAAACAATGTTGGGAAGATAAATCATAAATTTAAATAAACAATAAACTGTTCTCCAATACAATGTTAGTAAGTAGTATAAATACACAAATAAATACAAAACAACAATTTATTTACATCGTTATGACTAAAGTTCGCATATCTGAAAATGTCGTGTTGCGCGCGCGAACGCATATTGGTTGTATTTCAAATTTTTAATCTGTAAAATGTATCTACGGGCTCATTCCAGTTTCGTTGGCAATAACAAAACACTATTAGATTTAAGATAAATTCGCTCCAAGTTGTTTATCTTACCTTTATTGTCGATAAAATTGTTACTGACCGCCATTTGCTTTGTTTTAATGTTTTCAAATAAATTTCAATGCAGTGAATTACTTGGCTTTAAAATTACGGGCAACGCAAAATTCAAAATGACAATAAAAGATATATACTCAATAATTTATAAAATATCTTTACAAACAATTATATTTATATATATTTTTTTATTTATTTTGCAACGTTATCTTGAATCGTTTTGAAAAAATAATTCTTTTACTTCTTATTATGTTATTTGTGTGGTTATCCTCTTCTTCTTTGTATACTTCATTACTGTAGTTCGTGCTCGTCTTGATATGCCTTCATGGATGCGTCGATCAGCTGCCTCAGAAAACCTCTTTGCCTCCTTCAAACTTATTTTGATGGTATATTGTTATCGTCATATACCATCATAATTAATTTGAACATTTTTATATGATCTTCATTTGTTTCACAGCTTGCTGACGTCACAAATAAGAATACGTGTCGGCGAATATGACTTCTCGTCTGTATCCGAACAATATCCCTTCGTGGAGCGCGGCGTCGCTAGGAAAGCGGTACATCCAAAGTACAACTTTTTCACATATGAATACGACCTGGCGCTCGTGAAATTGGATTCACCTGTGCAGTTCGCGCCTCATATATCGCCCATTTGTCTGCCCGCGACTGATGACTTATTGGTTGGTGAGAATGCGACGGTCACTGGATGGGGACGACTGTCAGAAGGCGGTGTGCTACCTTCGGTGTTACAAGAGGTATGCTACTTTTATATCTGTCGCCCGCAACTCCGTCCGCGCACAATTGCCTATGCATACTTCTAGACTATGTTTTATATCTGTGCCAAGTTTAATCAAGATCTGTTGGGCCGTTCCAGAGAGACCTTCAATCATCCATCCATCGCATTTATAATAGTAAGATTTAATAATGTTCTTACATATGCGTAGTAATAGCAATATGTTGGAGGTTCAATAGCAGTATCAATGATCTCTTCTTGATAATTGTTTACATTAATAATTACTTATTCAAAACAACCTCGGCTTACGAGTCGACTTCGAAATCATAGTACAATAGTAATCAATAGATTATGTTAAAAAGTACTATTCTTGCCAAATATTGGATTAAAAATTAGATTGTGTTTTGCAGGTACAAGTCCCGATACTGTCGAACGAGCGCTGCAAGTCGATGTTCCTGCGCGCGGGACGACACGAGTTCATCCCGGACATATTCTTGTGCGCGGGACACGAGAGAGGGGGACATGATTCTTGTCAAGGAGACTCCGGAGGACCGCTACAAGTAGGTTACATCTATTGCCTGTTACAATACTTTGGAAATACTGTATTTTGGGTGTTTGCATTTGGAGACACCATGTTAACGAATGATGATGTTATCAGCAAAGCTCATTGAATTATTGGCTTATGATATTGTAAGTAAATATACGTGGTCATAGGTAGGAATAGTTTATACAGATAACACTTTATTGGCACCTATTAATGTCGATTATTAGAATGTTGGAACAATTGTCGAAGTAAATCTGAATATTCATGTTAAACGTCAGTTCCAATATGTTCAGTTTATTAGCCAGTGTGAACGTCTTCAGTGAAATTAGATATAACATATGAATTCCACACTTCCAGACATCTTGCTTGGTCTTATCATTTCAATACTGAATTTGGCTTCAAGCCACAATCATTAAAGCACGTTACCAACGTTACCTATTATACTGTAAGTGCTGGGAGACGCCAAACGACGTCGTTCATACACGCGCACTTATACGTGACGAGGAATTTTAGTTTCCTGGTTAACTTTACTGTTAGATGAAGTCATTTCGTTTCGTAAGATCAGAAGTCCAGCGCTGGTAGGACTGATTTTTGCTGCATAAGGCTGTATATATTTCTCTGAATTTTCTTCTTCTATTAATTGTGAGTTTCTGAAACAAAAACCCCCGTTTACAACATAATATTATCTCTGTTTTGTCAAACATAATGACTGGTGCCATTATATGTTTTATACATATTTCGGTCTTAGAAACCAACGGTAAAACGAGTTGATTTTCTGAAGATGTTTTAGTGAATTTGACTTTGAATCAAATTTAAGTTACGAATTAAAAACAACGCCATCTATTTTATTGAGACATGCATTATTTTAATTTTTTTCATTGCAGGTCAAAGGAAAAGATCAGAGATATTTCCTAGCCGGCATCATAAGTTGGGGCATCGGTTGTGGAGAAGCGAACCTACCCGGAGTCTGCACTAGGATATCTAAATTTGTACCCTGGATATTACAGACAGTAAGCTCGTAAAGTGTTTTAAGTGTTGAACAATATGTTTATGAACAAATTTAATTCAAAACGATCGAACTAACGACAATGATACAGTGCAAGTTACCTTCAAAAATGTTGATACATTCAACGTTTTCTGAGGCGTTTTATTTATGGAACAGTCTTAGGGTTGCCAAATTAAAGACGATCAAATCAATATCTACTTTGTTGAAAAGACCCAAAACGTTGCTGCTGAAGCAGCTCTATTGGGTGCCAAGTAACTAGAATATTTCGTGTCAAACGAAGAAGTGGCAGCCCTAAATTTACCGGGAAGCTATGCAGGACTTGCTGTTGCAATGCTGCATAAGCTTTAATACGGTTCAGTAATCAGGCTTGGACCTATAATAAACGCCCTTACAATCCCAGCTTATATTTCAATACACGCTATAGTTTTAAGATGTATTTGCAATTTTTTACAACTTTTGTAAATATTATTTGTGTATATTACCTGTAGCATTCGTTGCATTATATTTGGCTCGTTCACGTATCAACACGTGTTGCCGGTCCAACGGTCTGACGTCGACTGACGCCCCCTCTCACCGGCATGTACTTATGGCGTGTACGCTCGAGACAAACACTACATGCATACACTACATTACCTATTTTGTAAATATATTTTTGTAATTATAAATACAAAACAGGTAACTGTAACAAAAGATTAATATAATTTTATTTAGTTTAATGCCAATGCATTTAAGTTGTAAATATTTAAAAATTGCAATTTTTCTTGCCTTTTAGATATTCTTTTACAGTATTATTTATTTGTTGTTTTCGAACAACAAACGATTTTGTAAATAAAATGATTATTTTTATCAGTTTCTAATACTCTGTACAACTGCGGATCGTAGAGCGTCGGTGGCTCAGGGGTCAAGCACTTGACTTGCAATCTGTAGGTCCTGGGTTCGAATCCCGCCATGTACCAATGTGTTTTTCGATTTCCGATTTACATATGTACATTTATCCGACATTCTTACGGTAAAAGAAAACATCGTGATGCAACCCGCACATATCTGAAAAGAAATTCGAAGATATGTGTGAAGTCAACCAACCCGTACTGGGCCAGCGTGGTTGACTATGGCCTAGTCACCCTTGATTTAGGGTAGGCTCCTAACCCTGAGCTGATGAGCGAATAACATCGTTTGCATAGTTTTTGTATAGTTTAAAAAATATCTTTTATAACAATAAAATGCTTTGTATTTATTTGCAAGTTTAAATGTAACATGTTATCTTTATATGTATTTAGTATAGTTTAAGTTTTTCATAAAGTTTAAAAAAATAGGATAGTTTTAGTTTAATTAAATAATATTGTGAAATGAAATTACCAAATCGCAGTTTGTTGAAACATGAAGAGCGTTTAGTTTGTAATTTATTATATTAATAAAGTGATGTTTATTACTAATGTATATTTTATTATAATTTTGTTTGAATGAATAGTTTATAATAACGTTGATTATATTGTTTGCACATAACTGTATTGTTAAATAATTAAATATCGAAACGATTT